ACTTGATTGTTTCACCTACATTTCGAGAGGGGGCCGAAGAGTCAATAACGATGTTGAACTTTCATAATTTATAAGAAATTTATCAATATAATGCATGGAGATTAAAAATGAATGTTGGTTAGTGAAATTTATGGGAACTGAAATTTGACTGGACGTTTTTTTTTTTTTATGTGGAATAATACATTTGTTTAACGGTACAAGAAATAAAAACAATCGAGTCTTGTTTATTCTTTTTTTATATATGGCTCACTTTCTGATTTGCCTCTCTTGAGTTTTGAAGTAGAGACTGATAGTAGCGGATCCTATGGAATGTAGTAGTTTCTCGTAGGTTTTAATTATTGGAACAACAGGTAGCTCGCTGCAAATATTTTGTGCTTTCCATGAAGAGCTTAGATGAGAACTTCTGAAAACTTGTCAGTGTAACATTTGGGGGGAGGTGCATTTGTTATTAAATTCAATTAACATGTCAAATCGAGGTTGGTATTACTGTATAGGTTGATGGGAACCAACAATTTTTCGCCATTAATTGATGAGGCCAAAAAAAATTGTTTTTGTTTTTGTTTTTGTTGAAGTTAATTAACCGCTCGTGATCTTTTCTATTTGTTTTTTTTTCTTTTTGTAATTTTTCTTAGGAAAAGAACTAAGGCATTGAAAATCTTCTTGTACATTCGCATTGAAGTGCTTTTGTTTTCACTTCTTCTTCATTTAGCCTCTTCCTGGTTTTTTGCATCAGTTACTTATAACTTAATTGCTACCTCTGGTTTAGATTTTTTTAGTTGATGTATTCGATTTTTTTGAATCTTTTTATCCGTTTAATATTTATTGCCAAAAAAATGATATTTAAGCAGGAACTTTACGAAGCCGTTATTAGCAGGCATAGTGAACACTGGTTTAGCAATTTTGAAATTATACTGAGCATTTTCAGTTTTTGACAGTTAACATTTGTGTTGATTATGATTTTCCTTTTTTTTTTCTGCTTTAGTTGCCGACTTAGCTCAACTAAGACAAGTATTTAATTTTAGCTGTTGATAAGCATTAGAAAATGAATAGAGATACATGAAGCTTTGTTGGCTGATTTATTTCTAAATATTATTCAAATTGCATAGTATATATCGACAGATGCACATATCTTTTGTTGGCTTTGTTGTAAAATGTTGTTTCGAAAAACGCAAAGAACCTCTTTTTCAAAAAAAAACTTATAGCAATATAAATTTATATATATATGTATATATATATATATATATATACATATATATATATATATATATCAATTTTCACATACGTACCAAGAAGTCAATTTGTTAGAAGCATATAGATAGTTATAGTTGAAACGAAACACAAGGAAAATATTTTCTTATTGTTATTTTAACAAGCAAAAAAAGTTTCTGTAATGAGTAAAGGATAAAGAAGAAGAAGAAAAAGAAGAAGGAGGAGGGGAAAAAGGAATAATTTCAGCAGAAAATATCAATCATTTTGTTGCTTGTGGTTGCAGAAAATAAATTTGAAAAAAAAAAAAAAAAAAAAAAAAAAAAAAAA